TGTAAGCACGATACCCATTCGTGGTATGATGTGCTGTCATATTGGGCTAGGTCAGTGTCCAATATATTTCTAAATTTGTTCCAATAAGCTTTTTTAGTTTGCTATTTTCTGTTAGAATATAATTGTGTTGGGCTTGTCGAATAAGTATTGGAAGACATTAATATCGGGAAGTTGTCAGATCACAATGTTTCGGTGATTATTTCCCATCGAAAATTACATGCAATGCTCCCCGAACACAATGAGATATCAACTGCTGAGTTATTCCGTCGCATCACTCTTTTTAACAGCGTAAGAGAGCCAACATTTAAAAATACTATTTGAGCTTCAGTAAAGCTGGGCGCACACTAGATCCGGGTGGCGGCGCGGCGCGGAATTGTGAAGGTCCGCACACTATGTGGGAGCCGCTCTCGGCCGCGTTGGTCGATTTTTCGCTGCTTAGTGTTGATTTTGCATATCCAGTAGTCCCATGTCACAATCGCTGGCTTCGTCTTTACAAATATGGCGTTCGAGAGCAGCCGAATATACCCGAACTCAACGATTTCCGACCACCCCGGCGTACACTAGGTAGCGCGGTGCGGCTCGGAGCCGGGTTCGAGAAGTCTGGCAAATTCCTCTGTCTCCGCGCCGCGCCGCGCCACCGACCTAGTGTGCGTCCAGCTTTATAGCTTCCAAAAGTGCAACTCCCCTCTAATCTAAAATATCACCACCAATAGTAGGGTGATGGCAGTTGAAATCTCCACGCTTAAAAAAAAAAAAAAAAAACCCACTGTTGTTTTGTCAACTCGCTGGAATTAGATAACGAATGTACAGTAAGTTTTCTCCCGGTTGGATCTTTAATTCTCACACCATCATAGAAGAGACCTTCATAGTTAATCGATAGTACCAGACCTGCCATCCCTTCGATCATGTGGAAATATGTTATAACCGTTAAAGTGGTTAAACCTGGTCTCCGAAATTCCCGCTAAATGAATGTTATTCGCTATTTGTAAGCCTCAAATTCATCTTTTTTGGAAACTAAGGACCGTGCGTTCCACTGAAATATATTTAAGCCTCCCATTTTCTACCCATGAAAGATTGTACGGTGTTTGTAGATGTTAACTCGTGTTAACTCGAATAGAGAAATGTCCAGTAAGATCGTGAACGCCCCTTCTTTTCTTAGCATGTTAAACGTTAATTTTTCCGCAATGCTACGTGTGTGACTGGTAGAACCAAAAATAAAGCTATAACAGCCCTTGAAGGCTTGTTGTTGTGTGCTTTGGTTTCCTTTTGTGTTAAATTGTAAGATGCCAGGAGTTAATAACAAAGGAAAATTAATCAACTCTTTCATTCAAAATGCTATCTTTGCACTCGAAAAGTACTAACAAATGACACGCTTCAATTCGTGTGGACATACTCAATCTGTAACCTAAGGTCTAACTGCCTACAACTTTATAAGATAGGAGATGTATCTATTGTGAATAAGAGTGTAAGGACGGATCAGAAATTAACAAAAGAAATGTATTGGTCCGATTTAATTAATACTTGTTTAAGAATAAAAATACGTGTAAACAAAAAACAGCTGTTAAATTCATAGCTGCCATGTTGATTACCTATGCCCTAACGGATAGCAAGGCGACTACATTTTCGACCTAACACCTAATATTGTCTCTGGCCTGTTAGATCGAGCAATGTTAATTAGCCGATTCTTACAAGTCTACGTCATCATTTTTCTCGATCTAACAGGGTTAACACAAAGATCGTGAATACCCTTATTATCGTCAAAAATTTCCAACTTTCCCTTGTGTTTTACACTATTTTCCTCTTGAATTATTCTTAATAATAGTGAATGCCGTTTCATAAACCGCATCCTTGTTAACTATATCCTTTTCCTTGGTTTCGCTACTCCTGGGCGTGTTAAATTTCATTAACGCACCACGAACATTTTTTGGTGTATTTTCTGCATATAACAGATCCTTGTTGTGAAAAGATGTAGTTTAATTTCCTTTCTAGGCGAGGAAAAAAATCTCGTGTTTTTTGTACGAGCGTTTGTACGAGCTGGAGGAAGTTAGCGGCCTGTCATCTTTAAGCCAGAAACACACTTACCCGATGCAACGCTATGCGACGCTACCCGACGCAAGTCCAAACTCCGATTTTCCATAAGGTTGCATTACCCCCGTGCACATCTGCCCGATGCTACGCAACGCTACCCTGCTCTACGCTACGTGATCCCCACTGTCCAGATTTTCATCGGGTCGCATCGAGTACAGTCGAAGACAAAAAACCGGACACTCATATTTTTATTCCAACTACATGTATTATTGTCGTTATATTAATTACAACATACTTATTTTAATATAAACCAAATTAACTGTGATTAAAAATTAATTAGTTTTTATTTAAAAAATTAATTTTAATGGTAGAAAATTAATCAAAACACACGAATACGATTTTTTGATATAATGAATTTAACTAACAATTTATTGTACTCTCTTCGGCCGTACATATACTAAAATTGGAACAATTTATTACACGGTTTTGCTCATAAAATTTAATTAGCAATTTATTTCATAGTTTTGCTCGTAAAATTACACCATTTTCTAATGTCGAGTAGCATCAGAACAGGACACTCATATTTTTTTTAATTTATTTCAAACTAAGTACATGTAATTTTGTCGTTATATTAATTACAACATGATATTTTAATGTAAACCAAATTAAACGAGATAAAAATGCATAAATTTTTATAAACATTGTTTAATTAAGTTAGGAGTAACTTTGTTTAAAACAATTAAGTTTAACAAACAATTTATTAGATGGTTGTGCTCATAAAATTTAACTAACAATTTATTACAAGGTTTTGCTCAAAATAGTGCATTAAGAACAAAAGATGCGTTGCGATTGTGATAGTGATTATTGTGATAAACGCTGTGGACTGTACGCGACGTGTGCTTGCGTCGGATAGATGTGCACACCCCACCAAAACGTTTCAAGGCGTCGGGTAGCATCGGGTAGCGTCGCAAGGCGTAGCATCGGGTAAGTTGTTCCTGGCTTATGCGACGATACCCGAAGCTACCCGACGCAAATCCAAAGTCCATTTTTCCATAAGATTGTATTACCCCCGTGCACATCTGCCCGATGCTATGCCACGCTAACCTACTCTACGCTCTGCGATCCCCTCTGTCCAGATTTTCGTCGGGTCGCATCGAGTACAGTCGAAGACAAAAGAACCGGACACTCATATTTTTATTCAAACTACATGTATTATTGTCGTTATATTAATTACAACATACTTATTTTAATATAAACCAAATAAACTGAGATCAAAAATTCATTAGTTTTTATTTAAAAAAAAAAAAAATTATTTTAATGGTTTGGTAGAAAATCAATCAAAACACCAGAATATCATTTTTTGATATAATGAATTTAACTAACCATTTATTACACGGTTTTGCTCATAAAATTTAACTAACAATTTATTTCATGGTTTAGCTAGTAAAATTATACCATTTTCGTAGAGTAGCTTCAAAACAGGATACTCATATTTTTTGTAGTTTATTTCAAACTGGCAGAAAATTTATCAAAACACCGGAATAACTTAATTTAAAACAATTAAGTTTAACAAGCAATTTATTACACAGTTTTGCTCATAAAATTACACCATTTTTGTCGGGTAGCGTCAGAACAGGACACTCATATTTTTTGTAGTTTATTTCAAACTATGTATATGTAATTTTGTCGTTATATTACAACATTCTTATTTTAATGGAAACCAAATTAACCGGGATCATAAATTCATTTATAAAAATTATTTATTGATTTATTATTGATAGTTAGGCAGAAAATTAATAAAAACAATTGATTACATGGTTGTGCTCATAAAATTTAACTGAGAATTTATTACATGGTTTTGCTCAAAATAATGCATTAAGAACAAATGAGGCGTTGCGATTGTGTTACTGATTTGTGAAACACGCTGTGTGACTGTAAGTGGCGTGCGCCTGACGTCGCACAGATGTGAACACCCTACCAAAACGAGACAAGGAGTCGTGTAGCGTCAAATAGCGTTGCTCGGGTAAGTGTGTTCCCTGCTCCACTGTCCAGGGTTTCGTCGGCCAGTCAGCCAGTGAATCGAGGATTTCATTACCAACTTGTGCCCTCATGGTCCCTGCATGAACTTCACTTCTTCAACAGTCTTTGTCCACAGTTACTTAAATGTTCTTTTGACACAGAGCTAACCAGTGAGCTTAAAAATTCGAACAACAGTTTACCCGGCATAGACTATGTTCATTATAGGAGGATAAGTAATCTACTCTCAATTGCCAATTTTGGCAATCAAACAAGTTCTGGGAAAATGGACAGATTTCAAATTGGTGGAAAGAAACATTGCTTATTCTAATCAAGAAAAATGGTTTGCATAAGAAGAACATAGGAAATGTGCCATTGCCTAGTTTTACCATTCCTTCCAAGCCTCGCACCACTTGACTTCAAGCCTCAATTTATAAATAAAATGGATTGTTGCCATTCAAATCAATCACATATTTTTACCCATGTATATTTATGTCTTTTATGTATTTATTTATGTCAGGGCGGAAGCAGGCGATCATGGAAAAACAAAATGAGATCTCCACGTGTTTGCCGGTAAATCAGGGTGTTCCTCAGGGCTTCATCATGGTCTCCGTTCTTTTCTGAATTTACCTTTACGATTTACAACATAAAATAAAATCGCATACCTCCAGTAGCTGTAGTTAGTATAAATAATACATTTAATCACAATCAAAGGAGAGGTAAAAGAAAAAAATATAATGAAATATATTATTTATTAAAAGATGAAAAACTATTACAAATCAAGAGTCAATCAATTTGAGGAAACCATCTTAAACGTTATTTTCAATAAATATATATTTTTATACTCAGAAAAATATACTATATACCTAAATATTAGTTTAATTAATTTAATTTAATCTTTATTGTACATTGATAATTTATACATACATATTATATAGTATTTACAGGCGTAGAAAATGAAGTTTTATTTACAAAGAAGCGTGGTAAAGAAGAAAATCACAGAAATCATAAAAGAAGAAAGATAACTAATAGTTAAATATTTTTTAATAATCATTTGATTAGAAAAAAAAGAGGAAATATATTTGAATTTTCGACGACATTTACACAATCTCAAGAAATTGTTGGCAATTGAAAAAACTGAGCTAAAGTCAGTTATTAATTTAGATTTCAGTCGATTTGGCTTGTAATTGATGAGTCAATTACTGAAGGTCTGTTTTAAAAATGTATGATATTATTTTTTGTCTTTGTTGTGGGTCTGGAAAAAGGCTTCAAGAGGGAGAATCGGTTCGTCGGTCGGTAGTGTGATTTTCGGTAGCGTCCTTCTGGTATTAGCACTGGTCACCCCTTTGAAAATCCTCTGGGAATGGTAGTCGTTACTGGAGGAGGACGTCAGGTCTGCGATCCGCATCGCCTCTTCACCGGTCGGATCTGAGGGCGGCTCGGAGGCAATGGAACCTTTCACACTGCTCTCTTCTTCAGCTGAAATCGTTGTTGTCGGTCCGTCGTCCATCTTTTTCGAAATGACATTCGCATTGTGGTCCACTTCGTTTTCGACGATCTTTGAAGGGATAGCGGATTTGGGCAAATCGTCTTCTGAGCTGCTTTCCTCGGCGAATCTGTTCGTGGTCAGTTTTGTCTTTATCGGGAAAGGTTTTCTTTTTGCTGAGAACACGCCTTTAGGCTTGATAGTGACTCTTGCCGTCGGGATCGGGCTGTCGTCGACCTCCTTAGGTGGGATCGTCGACGTCCTGTATCTGCTGTAGTATTTTCCGGTACCGGGTTTATATCGATTTGTGCTCGGTCTGAACGTATTGATCCGCTCTGTTGTCGTCGTCTCCAAATTTTCCGGCTGCTGAGTTGTCGACGTTTTGTACCGCGAAGGACCGATTCTGGATTTGTATTTTCTATATTTGGATTCGGTCGTGGATTCGGATTGGTACGTGGTGGTTGTGCTGGTTTCAGAAGTTGGTTTCGGCTGGTGGGTCGTTCTCGTCCTGCCGGGATATTTCGTGCTTTCGGTTTTGGTTTTGACCGTCGGGTCGATTTCCGGTTCGGATTTCTGAGGTGTCGGAGTAGTTGTAGATGTGGCTCTATTTAGTCTCTCCCTGTAATCCTTCACGCTAAACCTAGGTCTGTTGTTCCCGTATTTATTTTTTAGTCTCGAGGAAATGGAGTTGGTCGCCGTTTCTATTGACGGGGTTGTGACAGTTATTGGAGCGCTCGTTGTTGTTGTGGTGGTCGTCGTAGTGGTCGTAGACGTGCTTGTTGAAGAGCTAGGCGGGTGGCGGAACTCATCGTCATAATTAATGTCAGACTGGTCGTTTTCTCCGATTTGCACGTCGCCCAAACCAAAGTGTTGTGTGTTGTAGTATTGGTCGTACTGGTTGTATTCGTCTTCTTTCGGTCTGGTTATAATATTGTCATTATGGTTTCTGGTCAAAGGCCCTGACTCGCCTGAGAAGGCGGTTGTATAATCGTACTGTTCGGTCGGTTCGTAAATCTCGGGTTTAGGGGTCGTCGACGTGGTCGTACTGGTCCTCTGTCGTTTGAATTCCGAACCTTCTCTGTACTTACTCGGTTTCCTCCTCCTCTGTGACTTGTGATAATCTACGGTAGTGGAAGAAACATCTGTCAAACGGTGGTTTTTAAGCTTAGAGTTACCGGTCAGTTCGTTCCTGGTTTGGCTCGGTCTTGAAGGACGACGACGTTTCGGAGGACGGTATTTGGTCGTCGTTTCAACGGCGACGGTCGTCGTCGGGGATTCTGTCGCCAGTTCTGTGTTTTCCTGGTACTTAGTGTCTATAGTGGATATAATGTTGTATTGTCCGTCATCACTGACTTCCGGAGTCTGGGTCGATTGTTCTTCCGAAGTGGGTTCGGACAGGTAAGGGACTACGTCAGGCGATGGCGTCGGAAGGAAAGGCACAGGTGCGTTTTCGTTATACCCGTGGTAAGAATTTATTTGCACTTGGGGCTTACGGTCGGTGTAAGTTTCGTAAGTAGTCGGTTTAGAGTAGGGCTTCGGAGCGCTAGACGGAACGAAAGGAGCTTCCGTTTCGTTTGGTATTTTCTTCGGTTCTTCGTAAGGTTCGGAAGATACGTCAATTGTGGTCACAGTTATTGGATATACATCTTGCGTAAAAGGTTGCTGAGTAACTATGTAATCCGGTTTAACGCTCGCGAGTGGAGAGCCTTGAGTTTGATAGTCGTTTAGTTGAAACGGTTGAGCCACGTCTGAAAATTTTACGCTATGGGGAGCTAGAGAAGGATAGGTAGTAACAAACGGTGAGTATGTGTGTACGTCTTTTTGGCTTTCTACGGTCGTCGTATACGGTTGAGAACTTTGGAACGGTCTGCCTAAATTTGAAAAATGTTCGTAAATGTCTTTACTTGGTTCTTTTTCTTCCGTCACCGGTTTAATGTTCTGTTCCGGTCTCCTCGTGCTAAGCTGTATGTCGCCAAAAGGGTTTCTGTGGAAATACGGGTCGTTAGGTTGGTTTTTGTTCTTGGTATAACCGTTATTGAAAAAGGAGATGGAAGAAGGTTCGAAGCTACTCGTCACGGAGGTTTTAAACTGATCCAGATGGCTTAACGTGGGGTAAAGTGTTTGGCCCTGCCCGCCCAGGCGGTAAGGCGTATGCGAGATGGGTTTGTTCGGCTTTCGCGCTTTATGGAAACTGTTGTCTAATCCAGAAGGCTGGAAGGGCTGTGGCTGTTCGAAATAGAACGTGTTGGGGGTCAATGAGGTCGATTGACTGTGAGAAGGAAAAGCCGAGGCTTTGTTGTTAATTTCCCTAGGGGGAGGTCTGAGGGAACTGTCGTAATAGTACGCCTGTTCAACATAATCGTTGTACTTCTGAGGACGTTTGGGCGGATCGCTGTAGACATACGGAGAACCGACGAACTGATGGTGGAACGGGTAACCGCCGAGCTTGGGCCTGTTGTCCAAATGGTGATAATCGTGAGTGAGCTGCGGCCTCGGAGACTTTTTCGTAATGTGCGAAGCGTGCTCTCTCGCGTTCACAGTAGCGTGGCCGAAGACGCTGAACGAACCGAGGATCGTGGGGGGTGTCGGAGAGAAGATTCCGATGTTCTCTGCCTGGTCGGTCTGCTGGGCTAGAATTTTCTTCGTTGGAGAGTAGCTGTAGCCCTTTTGGTACAGGGGGTACCGGATCAATCCAGAGTGCCCGACGTGTCTGCCAAGTCCTGGCGCTTCACGAATAGGCCGCCAATCATCATAAGGCAAGCGTGTTACCTATAACACAAATACACATTCGATTTTACACTTAGCTAATAAGAGTTATGTTTTTGATGCGGAAACGAGAGAGAGAGAGAGAGAGAGAGAGAGAGAGAGAGAGAGTGAGAGAGAGAAGTCTAAAATGGGCATACTCACTCTTGCCTGTTCCTTGGAATAAACCACATGCGCTGTGCTCCACCGGACTACACCTGCAAAAAAGGAAGTAATAAAGTCTCTTTTTCAATCGTTTACCGAAAAACAGCTTCTCAGTAGAATAGTGAAACCTTACTACATATTTCAACAAATATTACATAAATTCTTTCTATATTTTTGTAAGTGACCCAGTGCCGGTTCATCATAATTCCATGTAGATAACCTGAAGCATAACCTGAAAAGAGTTTACGAGATAGCACACTACTACAACGGTGCCCTCAGCATAACAAATAGATATAATAACCAGATGGTGAAAGGAGGAATGCCTTTTAATAAACCCCAAAAAAACGATTGTAGCTGACTTTACTAAGAAAAGGGCACAGATTCATGCCACTCGTGCTAAATGGACGCTTGTAATTCCCTTCTCAAAAAACGTGAAATAGAAGTCACTTTTGACAAAAGAATTTCTTCGAATCAGCAACTAAATATAATAACACAGAATGAAAATTATCATCGACAAGTGTAAACGTCTTTATGGGGAAAGCTGGAGTCTAACCTCAAATACATTCATATGGTTGTTACAGTGGTTGCTAGAACCATGATAGACTACGGATCGGGGATATGGACAAAGCCATAACAGCTAAACCTAAAAAATATATCCATCAGGAAACGGATTAAGAACAAATCCTTGGTTTAATGGGAATGTAGTCAAGTACATAGGCATACAAAAAAGTTCATCAAAGGAAACAGACAGCCCAACTATGAAATCTAGAACTCTAGAATAATCTTTTGACGGCTGGCCGAACACTGCAGACTTGGAGCAGCTGAAACAATCCTATACTGATATCGTCAGGAAGAAGAAATTGCGGGTCCTTTGTTGGTGCCAAGGGTTTTGCAGATTAAGATTCTTACTCCTGCAAAACGTAAAGCCCGGGTTTGAAGGGCACTCTTTAAAGTTATGGTATCAGATAAAAAGGCATAAGCAAAGAAAAGCACTAGATAATATTGGAGATAAACCAATACTCGTAGCGGTACGTAGGTAGTAAAGAGGCCGACCTATTTTAACTGTTAACAGTTAGCAGAAACCAAATTCCATGACTTTTGTCTAATTAGCTACTTTTTAATATTCAGATAGATCGCTATTGTCTACAGATTTGAAAAAGAGCCACGCTACTGAGAAATGCGCATGGGTTGGTTAGGTTAGGAATGTTAAGGTTAAGGTTAGGGAAAGGTTATGTTTCATAACGATGATTCCATATTTTTTCTTGGCTTTTGTTTAATTAATTATTTTTTAGTAATGTGAACAATTGCTATTGTCTGCAGATTTGAAAATGACCACGTTAGCTAGAAATGCACATGTGTTTTTAGATTAGGTTAGGAATGGGGTAAGGTTATGAAAGGTTAGGGTTAAGGTTCTCTATTTCTGCGTTTTCTTTGTTTGACTTGTTGCTTCATTGTAAACCTCTCAATGACATTGATATTTCTTTCAAGAATGGCCCCACCCGAGTCAAGAGCGTGTATGAATTAGGAAAAAGAATAGGACTCGGAAGACAACCTTGTTTGACTCTCGAGCTCACCTGGAACCATTCCGAGCCACATCTTTAACTACAAAAACCAAATAGCCACACAAACCTTTTAGTGGCAAATTTGGTTCAGATCTCAGGGGATAAACCTTTTCTATAAATAATGACAAAGGCGGAACAAGTTTTATGATGTTTTATATAAAATTATATAATATATAATATACATCAGTCGTAACTTATTTTCTGATTCTTTTAATCGCTGTTTCTAATATGTGCTCGGTCTAGGCCAATGCCATGTCCGCAACGGTGTATTTTCCGTTCGGTTAAGCTCGTGGATTTCATGTCGTCGGTTTGTTCGTACTGCTTTTTTGGCCTATATGCTCAGATATTTCATTATTTTCTTTTTTCTTTCCTGTTGTAATTTGTTTACGGGTAACCGCACAATTTAACCTCGGCCTGCGGGAAGAGGAACATTTCCGTTGTAATTTCTGTTAAAGTGTTTGAATCCTGAGGAGAAATTATGCCAGAGGAAAAAGAGAGAACGGACGTAAATTGACCTCACTACCATGACAGTACAAAATCCACGACCTCTTCCTCCCGATTTGACCCTCATTTTTCGTGATTTTATTAATTCTTCTTCTTGTTTGAGTTAAAACTCTCGCCAGAATCCATTGGTACACGTGTCCGACTGGTCTCGCCTTGAATTTAAAACTCCAAAGTTTCGGTTCAACAAACATTTCACAATATTGTCACGCGATTTTCACTGTAGGAACGGATTCAATTTATCCGTGTAACACCAGCTCGCATATAATTTCAGGTAGTAAAGGGCGTCGAGGTTCTTGAGGACATCGTCTTTTAAGGCGTGGTGGATTCTCAGGATGGAAAAGTGTAGATAAGGCTTTGGCAGAAAGTGCCAGACTACACCCTAACAATTTTCCAAGTTCAAGTTCATGCAATACAATTCTGTGCACAGTAGTTATTAAAGAAAGATATGAAAGGTGCACATATATTCTCTCAGGCAGCTAGGCAGCCATAAATGTACTAAATGCGAATGCTTTCAATTCCAAATTTAAAAGGGAGTGCCTAAATTGCCTTATGGCTCTAGGAAAAAAGAACAAGATGACCTTAAAGTGGGTTTCCGGACATAAGGCGTAGAAGGAAATGAATAGGCTGATCAACTTGCCAAAAAAGTGGTACCCCTTTCAACCATGCGGTCAGAACCATAACTAAATGCAGAGGACTGTGTGCTTAAGTTGGAACTGTACAAATGGACTGAGAAAGAAAAACTAAAATTCTGGATAAAGGCTCCAGGTATGAGGCAATTTAAGAGATTTATAAATCTCTCAAAACGGAAGGCGAAGGAACTCCTCTCTCTTGACAGGCAGGATATGAGGAAAATTTTAGGCCTCTATCTGCCACTGTCCTTTTAACTAGAATCTTATGAAGGGGTAAAGCAAAGACAGAAACATGCCGACTCTGTCAGGAGGAACCTGAGACATCGGCACATGTCCTTTGTGAATGTGAAGCATTAGTCCAGTTACGGTACAGCCACATCGGGACATTTGTCACATCGAAGGATTTCAGCGAAGAGGCACCAGGGAATGCGATTAGTTAGTGTTGTAAGAAAAAGCGCACTTTCGAAGGTACGGTTATAATTTATAAGGGTTACACAATAGATCTATTTAAGTCGCACTGGAGGAAAGGATTGTCATAGTTCTATATCAACTCCCCAACTATTTAAGAAAAGCTTCGGCAGTAGAATGGATTGAGGAATTTGTTGAACTTTTGGAAGCTGGAATGGATCGAAAATGACATTGATGTCATTGCAGTTAGTGAGGTTGGTGGTGAAGAGCTTTGACAATGATGTAGTAAGTAGAAATTAGTTAGATAGATGGAAAGATAGATTTCCACGAGACATTCACACATGCCCTTCAATTGCGTAAAATATACCCAGGGCTATGGTGGGAATCGAACCCACGACCGCCGGTAAAGAGCGAGAGTGTGACACCCTAACCACTCGGATGATGACAATACAATCGTTGAATGAATAAAAAAAAATTGTTTCCCGTTATCAAAAGCGGAATAAAATAGTATGAAATCGAGAAAATCGTTTCCCCAGCCCGACAAATCGAAACCATTCTGAGTTCATTTCAACTCAATATTTTTCCAAGGTAAACTCTCCATCAAAGGAATGACAGCCGTGATATTCCAAGTTTATCCAAATTGTCTGCAGTACATCACCCCCATTAACAAGCCGAACGGAAAATATGCCAAATTCGTGCCAGTCCGATGTGGTAGGTGATTATTGATAGACGGATTTAATTTTGCCGCGTCCTCCTATGCAGATTGCTTCTTCTTTCGTAAAACGGTGGTGGCTATTTTTATAGGTGCTCCAAGCTCAGTTTACAAGCTTGAACGAACGGTATCCGCGGAGAGACTTACCAGAAGAAATGTAAACACTCACCTAATAGCACGATGAGTAGGACCGCCCTCATCTCGATGGCCTTTCACCTGAAACACAGATGACAAATTAGTTATCTTAATAAACGAAGGGAAAGGATAATACGTGTAGGATAAAACGTTCAAACGGTTGTTAATAAGGGAAAGTGGGATCGTTTAAAAACACTGTGTGGACAGCAGCGCGGTCCAATTAAACTGGAAGAACCTCACTTAACCCATTCTCCTTGGCCTTCCGGATCGTGTTTCACGTTCCATTCGTCACCCCGCCATCCCATTAACACTCGAGTCTTCAAAAAGCTATTCCTTATCTAATCATCTTCAATCCATTCAGTCATTCCTCTCGAAAAGCTCCGTTAAATTTGTTCCTTTAAGTTAAACTGGGCTGATGAACAGTTATCAAAACTTCCATGTAGCTTCGGTTCCAGTAAGTATACTGATCACCGAATTAATTTTATAAATCGGTGAAGTGAAATTTGTAAAATTAAAAATCCTAGTCATTTGCAGATGGTTATTTTATGGAGACTGAATGTTCATTTTTTATAGAGCCAGACACCCAGATCTTCAGACGGAGATAGTCTTCCTCATCGAATTTTATGTTTGTCACCTTAAGTAATAATACAGCGTTTGTCCAAGTGTAAAGACACATCGCACATTTATATAAATTATCGAGGGAAAGCTGAATTAAACCTAGGCTATTTGAAGCAAACCGAGAGAGAGAGAGAGAGAGAGAGAGAGAAAGTCATTGAGTGGGTAAGAATAAGAGAGAGAGAGTTAGAGATAGAGAGAAAAATGAGTGATAGTGTGACAGAGAAAGTAAGCGAGTGAGTGGATGAGTGAGTGAGTGCGAGAGAAAGAAAGAAAGTAAATGAGTGAGAGGGAGAGAACCCGAGAGGAGTGAGTAAGTGCGAGACAGATAAAGAAAAAGGGAATGAGTGATAATCAGCGAGAGACGGATTGGTTGATTGATATAAAGATAATGTTTTATTTCACCACGAAAAGAGAGAGAGAGAGAGAGAGAGAGAGAGAGAGAGAGAGAGAGAAAGAAAGAAAGAGAGATTGAATGAGCAAGTGAGAGAGAATAAGTCAGTGGGTAAGAATCAGAGAGAGTGAGTGAGAGAAAGAGAGAGAAAGTAAGCGAATGAGTGGTTGAGTGAGTGATTGAAAGAGAGTGAGTGAATGAATGACATAGAGGGAAAGTGAATGAGTGAGAGAGATAGAGTGAGCAAGTGAGTGAGTGCGGGAGAGGGAAAGAGAGTAAATGCGTGAGAGTGAGAGCGAGAGAGAGAGGGAGTGAGAGAGTAAATGAGAGAGAGAGAGAGAGCGAGAGAGAAATTGAGTGAGTAAGATAGCGAGTAAGTTGGAGGGAGAGTCGTACTAACAACCAAGTTATCTCAGATCGTCACTTTTTTTACAACTTTGTGAAGTAATTATTTCCTATGAGATGGTTTACACTTTGTCAAACAATTTTATCTCAGTTATATTGCATTTACAAGAGTGAACAGCGAGACGGATCATTAAAATGTAAAATGACGATCGTAAACATCCAAACCGTTTTCTAAATAACTGTTAACTTTTACCTTACCGTTTGACTTGAATTTGTATTTTCGTACGAAAAATCGAACAAAAATATGAGAAAAACATCTACCTTGAGAGATTTTATAGTTAATTAAATCCTTGGATGCTCAAGTTGTTATTTTTCGCTGTAAAATCCTACCGTTTGTTACACTAAGAAGGGATTCCTAATTCGATGGAGTATTATACGCATGAATTAGCTTTATTCACTCCAATTAACCGATACTTGTTCTACCCTACTTCCTCCCTACGTCGAACATCTCTGGGACGGGAACCATAACCAGAATTCGGGAGTCAGTCAATTGCGATAACAATTATCAACTTCTTTTATACTATTAAAATGTTTGTTTTTATTTTGATTTTGATTTATTTATTTATTTTTTGTATTAACGTAAACTTCTTCTGCACAGCTTTAGCTTTTTGCCAAAAAGTTCGTTTCTGTACTTTTGAAAACCCTTAGCCAAGAATTTTCAGTATATATTAAGAGAAAAAATATATTGCTTGTAATAGTCCAAAAAATATTTTGAGAAAATGGTGCCGAAAAATGCACTGTTGGAATCATTAAATTTTTTTACCAAAAATGAACGTTTCTGTACTTTTGAAAACCCTTAGCTACGAATTTGCAGTATATATTAAGAGAAAAAAATATATTGCTTGTAATAGTGAAAAAAATATTTTGAAAAAATGGTGCCGAAAAATGTCAACTGTTTTCAAACTGTTTGAACCATTAAATTTTTTTACCAAAAATGAACGTTTCTGTACTTTTGAAAACCCTTAGCTACGAATTTGCAGTATATATTAAGAGAAAAAAATAAATTTCTTGTATTAGTGAAAAAAATATTTTGAAAAAATGGTGCCGAAAAATGCCAACTTTTTTCAAACTCTTTGAACCATTAAAAATTTTCGCCAAAAATAAACGTTTCTGTACTTTTAAAAACCCTTAGCTACGAATTTTCAGTATATATATTATGAGAAAACAAAATATTACTTGTAATAGTCCAAAAAATATTTTACGAAAATGGTGCCGAAAAAATGTCCTTTCTTTGAACAATTAAATCAAGTTGTAACATTAATGAAATATGGTGAAATTTTAAAAGGTTGACGCTTAATAAAGTACAGGCTCTCATTGGAAAGAGGTGCTTACCAAAATTAATATCTATTTGATATAACTATACTTAGAAAAATAAATAGTAAAAAACCGTCAGTCAGAAAAATGGCCGCTAACCTTTAAGAAAAATGAAGCCATTTCTGGCCAATTTAGAAACGTTTGATACTTAAGCTTAAAGTACAAATTCTCCTTAAAAAGAGGTGCTTATGAAAATGAAAATCCTACGGTTAGCACTGGAGATAAAAAAATAAATAGGAAGGAACCATCCCTCCTAAAAATATACGCTTACAGGGGAGGTTATTAACGACCATTTCTCGGAGGGAGGTTATTATCTTCTTTATGTTGCCACTTCAAGCTCACCCATTGGATTTTCACATTAGCATTCATTTTTAAGGAGAGACTTTATGCTTAAACGACAAACTTGCGTTCGTCGGGCAGCATCGAGTACAGTCGAAGAAAAAGAACCGGACAGTCATATTTTTATTCAAACTACATGAATTATTGTCGTTATATTAATTACAACATACTTATTTTAATATAAACCAAATTAACCGAGATCAAAAATTCGTTACTTTTTATTAAAAAAAATTAATTTGAATGATTTGACAGAAAATTGATCAAAACACGAATACCGTTTTTTTGATATAATGAAATTAACTAACCATTTATTACCCGGTTTTGCTCATAAAATTTAACTAACAATTTATTTCATGCTTTTGCTCATAAAATTACACCATTTTCGTCGAGTAGCGTCAGAACAAGACAATCATATTTTTTGTACATATTTCAAACTATGTATAGGTACTTTTGTCGTTATATCCATTACAACATACTTATGTTAATATAAACCAAATTAACCGAGATCAAAAATTCATTAGTTTTTATAAAAATAATTTAATTATGATGGTTAGGAAAAAAAATATCAAAACACCGGAATAACTTTATTTAAAACAATTAAGTCTAACAAATAATTTATTACATGGTTGTGGTCATCAAATTTAACTAACAATTTATTACAAGGTTATACTCAAAATAGTGCATTAAGAACAAAAGAGGCGTTGCGATTGTGATACTGATTTGTGATACACGATGTGTGACTGTACGTGACGTGCGCTTGACGTCGCATAGATGTGCACACCCTACCAAAACGTGACAAGGCGTCGGGTTGCATCGGGTAGCGTCGCATAGCGTTGCATCGGGTAAGTGTGTTCCCGGCTTAACAGGTGTCCATATGGTGCATATGGTCCATAGTGGCCACCCGATATGAGAATTGTGCATGAGCACGACAGCGAGTACTTGAGTCCCGTGTTCCGATTCTTGAACTGATAGTTTTATGTCTCAAGCATGTGTTGAGAGTGAATGTATTTACTGGCGTGAATGTGTTTCAAGGCCGATGGCGGAATTATAACTATCCAATTAGTTATACAAAATGTGTTAAGGGTGATAGAATAATATCAATTATTCCAACACCCTTAGTGGGAGGCTGATTGCGTTGGGCTTGAAATGACGTAGCTGTTGACATCCTGGAGCCCGACCTCGGTGGCTGGACTTATAAGACCGAGGTCTGACACGGACTGCCAATGACCGGGGTGTGAGATCCTCGACGCCTGCCGGTAATTTATTGTACGTGGAATTGCCAGTGATCTTCGAAAATTGATAAACTCAACTCTCTGCATGCGTTTTTTACGTACATGTCTGTACAGATTTGAGCTTATGTAAATCTGTTTTCAGTAATCTAGTCTACAGGATAATTCAGTTTTCGACGCAACATGGGAAATACTAGTGTTGCGCACTTCTTCAGATTGGTACAGTTTCACACGCAACGGGGCTTAAATTTATTCTGTTGCTAAACCTGGAATATGCGATCGTACGAAATTTGTTGTCCGGTTAATCGAAATGGAAAGACGTTTAACCATGCAATCCTTGGACAGTATGAAATATTTCATTGATACGTCTGAAGACAATTTCAGCTTTATAGCTATGTTATTACATCCTGCCAGTTTTATTTACGTAGTGTGTTTTGTTTGTTTTTCCTCAGTTTTTGAGCAGTAGACAAGGTGTAAAAATTAAAATATCCTTCCCTATTCCTTGGTTGTTTGTCCGGTCTTTATGAGCTATTCCATTAGTACAGGGCAGCGTAAACAGATTTTGCGGTTAATCAGTAGTACGGTAGAAGTGGTAGTAGAGAAATCCATTAAATAATATTAAGTAGCTTTTTGTAAATATGATTTTCTGCCTTGGTTGTCCATGTGTTCTAATGTTATTATTTATCAGTCGATTTTTTTTAACCTAGGATAAGAAAATAAAAGTAGGATAGTGTTAAATGAGATTAAACGTATAAAACGTTACAAAAACGAAAAGAATTTTCCAG